TTCCTCTACAGTTGCCGTCGGGACCAGTATGTCGTCTATGTACACCAGCACTTTCCCGGCACGTATCAGTGGATTCAAGATTTGGATCACTCGCTTCTGAAACTCGGCCGGCGCTTCCGAGTAGCCAAAGGGTAAGCGGGTGTACTCATACTGCCCGTCGGGCGTCGCAAAAGAAAAATACTGTGTTGAATTTTCGTGAACTCGAATCTGGTGAAACCCGTCTTTAAGATCTAACAACGTGAAAACGGCTTTATTTGTCAATCGTGAAAGACAATCCTCAATAACCGGAAACGGATATTTTTGTTTTATAATTCGACTATTAAGCGGTCTGAGGTCCACACACAATCTAATTTGTCCGTCTTTCTTCCTTACAGGTATCACGCGTGCGCAGTATGGCGAGATACTCGGCTGTATAATTCCTCGGCGCATCAGGTCGTCCGTGATCTCTCGGATCTTGATGCGTTCCGCATACGCGAATCGTCTCGGTGAGTATGCATATATTGACGCATCTCTCAGGTGCACTTGCACCTTGTAGTCGTCGTTAATCGGGTGACATTTTCGCTCTCTATATTCAAAATCGTTTTTTTCAACTTTCTTTTAACATCGGCGTCAAAATCAATCTCATTATTTTCAATTATTTGTTCCAGATTTTCCGGCGTGTTCTCGACAGCGTAAAGCGGCAACTGTTGCAACAAGTTAACTCTATAGTTAATTTGACTGTCCTCCGACTCGACAAGATCATATGATACAGAAATTTTATGTAAGCTAATAAAATCTCTTCCTAAAATTAAATCGCATTCAACTGATTCTCTAATTATATATAATTCTACCGCTAGTGCTAAATCATTTAATTGCTTAATTGTTAATTCGACCGGCACGACTCCGATTATTTTTAATGGTACGCCACTAAAGTTATAAAACCGTTTCATGGTCGGTAATAACCTATGCGGTCTCGGCTTGACAAGATCTCGGTATACTTCTTCTCGAATAAATGAAACAGGACTCCCTGAATCAACTAAAGCTCGTAAATTGCAATTAAAATTACAGATACTTGTAACAACCGCAAACGGCTTGCTGAGACTCCTACTGGCGCCCTCTACTTCCATGACCGCAGCGACGACGGATTCAGCATCGACTTCAGATGGGGCTGCCTCTGTAACAGCTGCTACTGTCCGCGCCGCCGACGGCTGGTTCGGCAACGACGACTTCCCGCCTGCTCGACCCTTCAGCGCGGGACAATCGAACTGGCGGTGGCCCTTCACTTTGCAGTAGAAGCAAACGACGTCGCTTCTGCACACCATATGTGAGTGGCCCTTTCTCCCACAATTCCGGCACACACCGTCTTTGTTTTTCACAGACGCACTCGGCACTGTCTTTTTTTCATTCTCGACACTGCCCTCGGTTATTATTCTCATTCGCTCCAGAAAACTGTCCAAGGTTTCATTCGGCACTGAAAGCGCGATAGCCCTCATTGAGTTTTGCGTGATTCCACCGATTATTAGATGGATCGCGTCTTTTACCGGCAAGTCCATTTTATTAATAAGCGCGAGTTTAGCGATCGAATATTGATCGAAAGTTTCTTTTTGCGCGTTCCACTTCCGCGCTTCGACTCGTTGCATAGCTTTATAAAACGGCACTTTTCTATCGAAAATCTTTAATAGCTCAAGGCGCAGGCCCTGCCACGACTCGATTTCCGGTCCCGACTGTATGTCGTACCACTGGCGCGCGAACTTGACTAATTTGCTCGACGCGGCAAGTAAGGTCACCCCGTCCGTTGCACTGTGTATTTGTGCTACTCTGTCCACTCGTCGCACCCACACCGACACACAATCGTCTTCGGACCCGCCGAACTCGGGAATTTGCGAGGCTAGCCAGGAAATTGCGTTTCCTGCTGGCAGCCCGCCTCCCGATGCTCACCAATTGCATCGGTTGAGCTGTTATTTAAGGACGACCCGCGGAGTTCGTCCTATTTAAATTTTCATTATTGTTTATCGGAGCCACTGGCTCCTCGGCTCGGCTCGCAGGCGCAGCGGGCCTCGCTGCCTGCAATTGTTGAACAATTTGTACCATAAATTGCTGTTGCTGGTGCTGCAGCATCGACGTCATCTCAGCGAAAACTTGTCGGAACACCCCAGCGGTCAACGGCTCCGCAACTGTTGACCGCGTGGCGGCCGACGGCACCGGTCCTTCTCCGAACGCACCGTGTGGCTCCGCCGGTGCATCCGTGCTCTTAGCCTTCTCCCAATGGGCCAAAATTGTTTTTATGAGGACCTCGCGGTCCTCCGACAGCGGAAGCTGGTTATGCTTCGCATAATTTTGGAGTTGCTCCAATGAGGCCTTCTCCAAATCGGCTTGCTCCATTTGCGATCTTGTCCTCGGCATTCTCTTCTTTTACTCTCACTCGACTAAGTCTTTGATTTTTTTCGGCACGACGCGGGTTCTTGAGCCCGTTTTTCTTCTCGACACGACACGACAATGTTTCTTTCTCGACACGACGCGGGTTTTTGGAGCCCGTTCTCCGTTTCGACACGACACGACAACTTTTCTTTACCGACTTCACTTATCCGACACGACGCGGGTTTTTGAGCCCGTAATCCCACTTCTGAATTTAATACTGAAAGTTCTCCGACTAGTTTTAATCGACAAGCGGCTCGACCCGGCTGGACAAGAATCCAGCTAGTCTTTTTAGCAATAATTTGTAACGGTCGGAGCACTGAGTTCTCTCGTTCAAAATGTCCGTTAGCCTTATTAATTTAAACCACGTGCTCCGATTGGCTACCGACAGCAATAATAATGTAAACGCGGTGTATGAATAAATCACTTTTACCAGAAAGAAGAATGGCCTTTATTACTTTGCCTTAATACATTTTACACTGCATATCGCTCGACTCGACTAGATCTATTCTCACGACAATTATCGACGACTCTAAACGCGACTGACTCTATCGCCGGTTCTTTACAGAGTGCTTTACCGGATTTCTCTTCGGATAGTCCTGCTCCTGGGGAAGATTCCGGATTGTTCTCGATCCTTCGGCGGATCCGGTGGCGCGCGCATAGATCGATCCGTTAACTCTCGATCTATCGAGAGTCGATATCTTGCGACCCTGTGTATCGCTTAGTGCATATTTGCGCCTCCTATCGGTCGACCGTAGCTATAACTTACAATTTAGAAATATTTTTAATGTAGCGGGGTAACGGTGCCTTGTTTAATTTGTATGAGACACTGTACTGATCATGGTGTAAGAAACAAGGTGTGCTCGTGCGCAGGCATTTTTATTAGCCAATAAAAGAGCGTGACAAGTTTCCGCCATCTTGTAGAATTTAAATGGTATTTGAAGCAAGTTGAACAAGTTTTTGAAAAATGTATATAAATATAAATATTTATTGTAAATATATTTTAACATAAATTAAATGACAAATGTAAGAGGCAATAAATACAAAAAAATATTAATACATTTAAATTACTTAGTAACTGTACAGTTAGTAAATTTTGATATTTTTTTATTATACTTTCTTTTATGATTTTCGGCCGAAATTTGTTTATTAATAATTCGCACTCTAATATAAGTGCGCGTACGAATTAAACATAATAATACCTCCCGTGGTATTTTAATATTTTTGTTTTTTTTCTATAATATCTGCTATTGTTTTAAAAATCCAAGGACCCTTCTGAATGAAGTTTCCATGGTAATTTTGGAATTCTTCATTCATTATTTTTGCAGCTACCAGCAATTCAGAAGAAGGACTTATTAATTTTCCTTTTGAAATGTAATTAATCCAGTCGTTTTGTGGATTAACTATCATTTCAGTCGAAGTACCTAAATGATTGTATTTGTTTTTAAATCTGAACGCTGCGTAACCGGCAATATATTTAAGGCCTTCTTCTTGAATTATGTCTATAGCATTTCCTAAATCTTCAACTTGATTTAGTAAAGCCAGTTCTTGTAATGTAGGGGAATAAGTAAATAAACTTGTACCTGTAACAAGTGGTAAAGCAATATATATATATATATATAAATATCGTAAGAACTTTTTTTGACAATTTATTCATTTATTTTTACAATTGATGAGCCTAAAGTGTAAAGTGTAAATTATATATTGCATTACTTAATATAAGTTATTGTAAGTAATTGATAACAGTAATAATTAATAATTACAAGTTACAAAGTAAGGTTAATTAGAACCTTGGTAAAAATAAAAATTACTATTATTATTTACAATTATTATTATAATAAACATTACTATCATTATTATTAATTACTATTATTATTATTTATAAATAATAGTATATTAGATTATTTCAAATTATGAATTAATTATAGAATTCTATATTATGCTAAATTAATGTACAATCGCATTACTGAAATATAACTTAATATTAATTAATCATATTTAAATTTACTCATGAATCAATACATATTTATCATTAAGAACAAATAATCTTACCACAAGCAGTATTTTCTTCAGAAACAATATTTGTTTCATGGTCATGTAAATAATAAAAACGCTATAAAGCACTACAAAAACTGCACGTATAACCTCTTTATCGTGGCACTTCGAAACCTGTCGCGTTTCTATTGGTGATTTTCAAGATGGCGGAATCTTGTCACGCTTCCCCTTCCCTTCCCTGCGCAGAACGTGACGAAAATGCATTCGAGGAATGAGCACACCTTGTTTCTTACACCATGGTACTGATGCCGTATTGTCGCACATGCGCATACAACCGGTCCCATATCGCAACACTGCCGCAAGTGTCTAGATACAGTCGCCAGGCCGTCGATAGCAGGCGGTTGGAGAAGGAACAGGCGCCGCAAGTTCACTTCAAGGGCATCATCCAAAATGTGATGACATCGAACGGCACGAGAACAATGGTCTTGGAGTTTTTTCCGTCGAAGGTGACTGAGAAAATATCTTAATTTTTAATGTTATTTTTATCAATACATATATCAAGTAAGAATTTATTTGATTTCTATTTAGATTTTTGAAGGGAATTTTTTTCAAAGTCTTTTATTGTCAAATTTTACAACGCTTGAAACAATTCTATCTTTTGAAAATGTTTCTCAAACATTGATCCTTGCAATTTTTGAATTATTCTTCTATTTTTTCTACTACTTCAAAATATAACAGTTCTTAACTTGATCAACATTTTTTCCATAAGGATTAATTTAGTTCATAAAATCTTTCTTTTGAATAAAAATGCAAAAATTGTCAATAATTATAGTCTTTTCATCAGCATGCTTCATCAACGTACTTTTATTTAAGACATTTTTATTTTTTGTATTTTTTTAGACGTCGGACATTCCCATGCTCACTCAGTTCGGCAACGTCTCCTTTGACCACGAGAAGATTCTTGAGGGTCGTGTCTTGATCGTCGTGTCGAATGACGTGTGCGTAAGTAATTCGTGCAACCTCAACGGCATGTGTCACGTTACGTGGAACGACTTCTGGTGTCAATGTCCGCGCTGCTACACCAGTAAGACTTGTCAGGAAATAGAGTTCTGCCAGCTGCAGGACTGCCTGGCAGGCTCGCGCTGCCAGAACTTTGACGACTGTTACGAATGCATCGCCAACGCGATCTTCGACATCATCGAGATCTCGTACAGATCCAACACCGACGGTACGCTGCTTCACGTGGCATCGCACGTAGGCAATCAACATTTCACCGTGTCTGTCTTCAAAGACAATGTCACCGTGTCTTGGCAGCTCGATTTGGAAAACCAGGGCACTGTATCCTTCGGCAAAGTCCAGCCCGAAGGGCAGCCCCGTTCAAGCGCCCACTTCAACTACCAGCTGTGGCACGATCTCCTGGTAACAGGAATAGTCACTCTCGGTGGACTTTCCAGTGCCTTGTCCGACAAGCACACTTACGTCACTGTCGGGTTGAAACACGATAGAAGAGACGGAATCGAGGGGAACAGTGTGGATTATGGTGAACATAGACTGACAACTGCTATCCCATCGCATAGTATGATGTCCGGTGAGTATCATATTGTGATATACGGTTTTTAGATATTCCATAATGCGATGCAACTATTTTATTAGAATATTGTAATCGTTGAATCGATACTTTGAACTGTGGTTGGAATTGAAATATGAAGGAAAGTCGGAAAACATTTTAATTGCTTGGAAATCAAAAGTTGTTTTATTGTTTGGCTTTTAGTAGTTTTGAAATACATAAAATCTTCACTCCTGAAACTTTCAAGTCTCAAAAATTCCGTCCTTAAATTTGAACTCTTTTTTTAGTTTTTCATGTTCAGTCTTCTTCAGTGTAAAATCTTCTTTTTATTTAAGCGCTTTTTGCTTACTAAAGAATTATTATAACTTTTATTTCTTTTTTCAGGAGAGCCATTCAAGGGCTGTCTAGGCAAAGTGCGCATCGGCAGCATACTGCTGCACTACTTCACGAATGAAGAAGTGTATCAAAATGCGAATTTTACGCTGCTAGAGTTTCTGACGTTGCAAAGCAACGGCAATGCCACTCACCTCGACAGTATCGGCTGTATGGTGTGCTTTTATACGAACTGCAAAAAACGATAGCTACTGCTTCGATAAAGCAAACAACTACATATGCGAATGTCCAGCCAGCTATGCCGAGAATGACTGCTCCTTTAACATCGACGAGTGCATCGACAAGTGTCGGAACGGAGCGACATGCGTCGACGGCATCGCGAATTACATTTGCATCTGCGACAGCGGCTGGCAAGGATGGCTGTTAGTATTTTCTCATGTTGAAATCATTTCACGTTTTACGAAAGATTAATATTTTTTGTGATGACAATGAGATTGTGATATTTTATCATTATTTTACAAAAAAGTATTAACAAACACTGATAATATCAGCAATAAGTTTAAAATTTATTAATATTTATGTTAATTAGTATAATTGTTCCATTATCTTGTCAAGAATTTCTGAACTCGACAACCATGATTTTGGTATCAAACTCGATTATTAAAATCGAGAAAAAAACATTTTAAAAAAATATTACATTATAAAATCAGAATTGTTTTCTACAAAAACTTCTAATTGCAAGAATTAAAAATTTTAGGAAAAAATCATGCTGTAAATAATCTTTTTAAATATTAGATTTGTCATAAATTAATTACTGACGTGAACCAAATTTTATAGGACTATAGTAAAGTTTTTGAAATATCCAATCAATTTATTATGTTAAAAAATTTATTTTAGACATCGCATCATAATGCTGAATATATACCATAAACACGCAAGATTAACGCTACATTCTCTAACGATCACGAAGTGATCGCAACACTTTCTTATCAACTCTTATCTTTTGTTGTAGATGACAACGATATCAACGAGTGCGTGACGCTGAATTTTTGCAAACACGAAGGCGTGTGCGTGATTGTGCCGGGCTCATTTCGCTGCGAGTGCCCGGACCAGTTTACCGGTGACTTGTGCGAAAAATTCCGACTAATCACGTGCGAGAACAACCCAGGCCAGGCATGCGTGGCGCGACCTGCCTCGACTCGCCGAACCCGAAGACAGGCGATAACTTCACCTACAACTGCCGATCTGGTTACGACGATTTAGTTTGTAACTCACCTTATTGTACTCTACCTGGTCAGAGATGCCAGAACGGCAGATGCGAGTTTTTGGAAACCAGTGATGCGATCTTTCCCACAGCGGTCCCGGCTCGGCTGTGCTCGGCTGCCTCACACAACCTTACAGAAGTCCGTGTGCACACGGATACGTGACGTAGCGCTTCTGTAAGGTTATGTGCACACGGATACGTGACGTAGCGCTTCTGTAAGGTTGTGTGAGGCAGCCGAGCACAGCCGAGTCGGGACCGCTGTGGAAAAGATCGCATCACTGTTGGAAACGAATTATGAATATGTAATAAAACTTTAATTTCCAAGACTCTAGGATTTAAAATTGCTGAAGTTTAAATCGCTGTTCCTTTTGATCACTATTGCATAATTTGATTTTTTTTCAATATTTGAGAAAGTTTAGTTTAATATGATAAAATACAGGTTGTGAAATCTGAATCTCAAGTTTAGGGAATCGGTGGATTTTGGGATTGTCATTTTAGATTCTGGAGTCTAAAAACTTTCTTAAATTTAATTATTAAACAGAAGTTTTATGTACTACGGAATTATTATTACGTAGCAAGAGATGCACCTGCGCTCCGGGTTACATCGGCCTGTACTGCGAGACGGATATCGATGAACACCGGATACACCGGTGGCAATTGCACCGAGGACATAGACGAATGCGAAAATTCACAGACAGATTGTGGACACGGCAGGTGCCAAAATCTGCCTGATAGTTACGATTGCGTTTGCGATTTTGGCTACTGCGGCTACAATTGCGCAATGTTGGATCCTTGCCAGGAGGTAAGTCCTCTAGAAATTAATAAATAGAAAGGAATTTAGAAGGATTGTGATGTATCATAGAACTGAGTAAAAAATTTAGAGAATAGAATATTTGTAGGAATTAAAGAATTAGAACATTAAACAAGTTTTACTAGAATTGAGTCAATGAAATTGGAAAAATTCTTTGAGTTCGGTAAAATAATGATAATGAAATTAAGACGAACATAATATTGTGAGATATTGTGTTTTATTTTTACGATGATCCTGTTTTGTCTTTATTAAAATTATTGTCAGAACGGTGGCCAAAGGTCTGCAGGTGTGCCAAAGATGGCGGATACGAATGTGAATGCACTTCTGAATACACGGGACTAAATTGTACTGGTAAGGTGAAATTCTTTAGATTAGAGATTCCATGAGAAAAGACCAATTAGCTCATGTACAATATATCTCTAATAACTTAATAAGAATACTCAAAATGTTTTCAGTATACCATTACCTTTGTGAAGTTGGCCCCCTATTTTTCAAAATTGAAAAAAATGATTAGAGTTCTGGATGTCCCCCCGAGGAGTTCTAGAGTTCTCAGATCATTTTAGAAAGAGTTCTGCCATTTACAGTAAAGAAAACACCATTTGAAAAATGGGGGGCTAACTTCACGACGCCCCCCCATTATGTAAAAAAATCCAAATTTTTTATAGTTTTGAGCAGATTTCAAATAGATTTCTATAGTTCTAGATAAGTTTCAAAAATTAGTTTTGCTTG